GGCGCGCGCGCACCTCGCGTAGAGACGGCGAGGGGCTGCCCCGGGGCACTGTCTCTTCTTTCTCCGCTATAAACATACACGCATTTTTTATGCCCAGTTTACATTAATCCAGTCCAGTAAGCGAAACCAGATTAAACTGGTTAGGTAAACCCACAGTGAAATGTATTGTGTGCATTCCATTGTAGTTATCGCTGCAAATCATCAACAATATCAAGACAAGTTCGACAGAAAATAAGGAACACAAACATAAAATAAGTAATAGTATACCTATATAAAGAAATAATGGTTTTTAGGATTCCATAATGAAATTCATGTCCATTTTTTTAGTGAATGATTTTACATAACATATAACGTCACATGCACAAATAGGGTGTCATGCATCATGCAATTTAATTTCTTTCAGTAATTTATTAAAATCATCACATTTACGTACAGCGAAGAGACGTTTCGTGACGTCATCGCACTCAGATGTTTTATTGTGCCCGTGTAGTATATCTTAATAACAAAAATAATTACAATACTCACAACATTTAAGCAGGAAGCATGCAGCAAGAAAACCTTAGGAAGCGTGTAGAACTTGGAAATTAGACAAAAAGCAAATATTGTTAGAAGTAAAAACTAAATGTATTCAAATAAGATTATGCGAGGACGCGGACATAAGGTACACGGATTTAAAAAAAAAATCAAGAACTTGATGTTTGAAGAAAAAAAATTTATATCTACACTTCGTTTAAAGGTATTATCGCATTCTTTGAATTGTAGAAAGTAACAGAATAAAAAAAATGTAAAAAGCAAAATTAAGTCTGAAATTATTTACAACTGGCCACTAAGAAAAGCTAAAAAAAATCCAAGTGTCGTATCACTATTTAAGGAAAAACTAAATGTGGCCTTATTTCGTGAGTAATAAGGTTGATAATCGCATGTTCGTGTGCTGCACCTAGATTGGGCACCGAGTGTCCGCGGCCGCGCGCCACCACCATGTTGTTCTGTTTACCGAACGCGACGCGCGCCTCCGACGTCAGCACTGACGACCGCGGCAACGAAGAATACAGGTGCGTGTTGCGCTCGATCTGGCGACCGTAGTTAGCTGGCGGTGTCTGCAATCATAGATTTTGAATAAAAGATTAAATATAAACTTGTCCTCTCCTTCCATTCAGAGAGAGAGCGAGACGAAACATATTTGTTTATTAATTTATAAACGGATCTATGAAGCATCGGTGGCTCAGGAGTTTCAATACTTGAAACCAAAAGAAATTCAAAGATTTGTGTGAAGTCAACCAACCCGCTATGGGCCAGCGTGATTGACTAATGTCTTGTCACCCTAACTTAGGGTAGACTCCGAGCCCCTCGTGGAGATGTATAGTGCGCTGGTGATGATGATGATGAATCCATTAAGCCATACAAACTATTTATATGAGGATTTGAGTATTTTATTCCTGTTGCTTGGTATGCCTTACCCTGGGCGGTGCTGGTCGTGGTAGGGGCGCGGCGTCAGGCGGAGGAGAACGTTCTAGAACGCCTCGCTCCACCACGCGTAATCGTACTTCACTTAACTTTGAAAGAAGTTCTAGCTTTTGTGTCTCCAATGACGATCGGGATAACATCTCCTAGAAATAATTATTGAGTACGTTTAATATTAGTATTTTTGAAGATGATGAACATTTATTTAAATTTTGTTTTTTTTTTAAATGTAAACTAATAAATAAATACTAACAAATCAGGATGCTGCTAAAATCAAAAATGATACGTTTTAATACATAAATGTAATGATAACTCAATCATATTGCCGTATATTATGTTTGTTTGTATAACGATGTTTGTAACAACATTGCAAGAAATACATGCAACATCGAGGTCAGTAAAATAAAAGTTGCACTTTGGCTGATAACATCAGTATAGGGTATAAATAAAGGGGGTCGTGTTCTGCTCGGCAAATAGCCAAAATAGACATAAAGTGCATACTTTATGGGTAATATGAGAGTTAAATGGCAACATAAAACATGGCAAGCCTGCAACACTGGATCGTAAGCCCTAAAATTAAAATAGCAATAGTTTACGTTACCTAATGATGGTACGTGTTAAAAGTAAACAGGAACGGTAATGTTCCGAAACTTTTTAATGTAAACAGTGCGTTTCAACATAGATAAACATTCTGTAGGTGGGGTACACTATGATACATTTTATAGCTGCGTTTGTTATCACAGGGATTAATAAGGAACGCGTCTGGAGAATGTACGTAGGTGGCGCAATGAACGGATATAGAGAGGCGTAAAGAAATTCACTGTTCCTCGCATTAGTTAACCTTTTATGATAAAGTTAAAGCGTTTCAATTGAAAAGCATTTAGTGTATAGCATTTAATATTGCCATACTATGTTACCTTTTAGATCAATCTATTCAAATATATTGAACTGTCGAATAAAATTTTATTTACGATGTTATAGAAATAAGACCATGCATGTAAGAACTGATTTAAACATAGGTACAACTTTCGTCTTCCCACTGCACAAGTATTTGATATAAAACGCTCAATATTCATTTATATTGTTCAGAATTTTTAAAAATCAATGTGTTTATAGACGTAAAGTCAATGTACCAATGATAACAATCTTCGCACTACGTGAAGGTGAAACATTCACATAATTTAGCACAAAGAAACATATGGCCAGCAATAGAAGCTGTATAAATAAATCAATTGGTAGTCTGGTAAGACTCAAGATAAGGTGACCTTGCTGGTTTTATTCCCGACAACGCGAGTATCAATAGAACGACCGCAAGCAAGCCAAGGCAAAGCATACGGTGCGCACATGTTATAAAGACGATCTATTTACGCAAATATATAGGAATTTAAAGATCCAGTAAAAATGAACATCATAAATATTATATCGACAGAAAAATCCAACTATCTAGTAATTAGGTTAAAATGCTTTTATTACTTCGCATTTAATGCAATATTCTCCGTGGCTCTACAATTTTAATTAGTAATCGAAGGAAGATATCCTATCAATGTATTGTAAAAATCACATTGTAACATACATGAAACGGTTTCGTTACAATAAAGTTCTTGTCGTAAATTACTATTTGCATCAACAGTGTCACAGTTACTGTGCAAAAAAAGAATTATTCTGTGACAGATAATAGGCTTTCGCATTCAAGGGTTTCATGTACCCTTTTGTTTCCTGATACAAGTTCTTTGCCATAAACTTGATGGGGAAAAATGAGTACCTCCTTCTTTTGAAAAGTCGGTCAATAACAACGACTATTATTATGCTGTGATCATATTGATTTTCGATTTCCTAACGAAAACTTACATAATGTGATATTCTACAAACATAAAGATTTGTGTTATAACTTTCTCGGATCTGCAGGACATGAATTGAATTTAGGATGAGGTAGGTCAAATCAAAAACCTCTTAGGATAAATCAAAACTCATAAGTTACGGGATTAAATTGCCTTTTTTCTTATTTGTTTCAACCGCATAAATTCGTATGGAATATCACTATTAAGCCATAAATACAAAAATCAAGATATTCCATTCAATACAAAATAGAAAGTTTCAACATCTGCAAAAAATAAACGCCGTTGAGCAAGTCTGAAAGAATCATAATCCTCCACACCACTCCGCAGCGGTCGGTTCAAATAATAAAAAAAACCCTCATCCTATTCTTTAAGCCGTTGGGGTGCAGAAAAAGTAGATTACGTTACGAGTGAAAAGACGAATGAACAGACTTAAATAAACCAACGGATTATTTTAAAAATACTGTTAAATTTAACACAATGAAGCAATGAAATCTTTTACTGGATCTATTCGGTTTTAAAAGGAAAGTGTGCATTTAAATAATGTTCGGTTCAATTTATTTTTAGTATTTATCTAAGAAAATGGATAGAAAACAATTTTTACATCCTTAGAGCCTTGCTTGTGCTACCTCTTTATTCTAGTTCTTACTGACTACTTCTCTTCTGATTTGTGCGAAATAAGTACTATCCATCTTAGTGAATTTATTAAGGCAGTACTAGAACGGCTAGATGAAGACATAAATTATAACGTACGAGAAATCAGCTAACCTATTCACAAGTCATTTGCGTTCGCAACACATATTCATATTTTTATAACGCTCTCAAATTTTCTACGTGTTGCCGAGATGAGAATTGAAAGCCAATATTTCTTTAATAACTATATATGGTCAAACAGATTTAATGTGGGTATTTAGTTTGCCACCTTCTTCAGATCTCTTCCAGCAAACACATTACATTTAATATCTATAACAAAGTTCTACTATCGCCTGATAGTTAACAATGTAGCAATGACCTATATCAAAATCACAAATGGAACATCTTCAATACAACTACTATATCCGACAATAAATCAAATGATGTCATTGTCAATGCAGAATTACTAATCGGCAGTTAGGCTTAACATCGTTCGCATTGTAACGAGACAAGGCATAGTCGAGGCAGTGGAAGTTGTGCAGCCCACACCAATCATGTTTATTCAATAACCGTACTGTCGCGATGTAGGCCGAATGCTAAAGACCTAAACGCTTTATGAAGTCAATTTGGCGAGGCTAACGGAACTACCGTTGTCCAAACAATTTCTTTTACCTTAACTAATTGATAATATTTAGGGCCTGTCCCACCGGTGGTAGATAGAGGCCCTGATAGTGTAAATATGACGTCACGTCAGATAAAATACAAAATTTCTGTCCCACCAATTTTAAATAGCAGATAACGCTGTGACGTTTTAAATGTCAATGTCATTTTTTTACAAGCCCCATACAAAACTTTTTGATTCTGTCCCACGGGTGGCTGATAAAGAGTTCTGGA